CCCCCCCCCCCACGATCGCGATCGAGACGCTCCTGGTACGTCTCGTCGTTGATTAAAAAGTAACTAACTTCCCGCGCACACCTGCGACGTTTGCGGCAACCAGACCACGCCTCCGCGGGCGTGGTCGTGGAAGCGACCCTCGGCGAAGGCCGGTCACGACAACCGGTGGTGGAGGACGGTCGTGATCGCGGAAACGACGATCGACCCTCCATGTCGCAGGAACGATCGACCCTTGTCTCCGCTCTTGCTGCATCGCCTTGTCACTATATAGCTGTGTAGGTCATTGTCGACGCGCCATTGCTCCCATTCCCGCGCCCCAGCGCTACGAACTAACCCATGTAGTCGACTGCTTCAAACAATCAGTCGGTGCCGGCCGACCGGCCGCAATGCTGAGAGACACCGTCTCCAGTACCTTCGTGTCCAAACCTAGGTCTCTCGAAACTTCACCACTCTCACATTCACATTCGCATCTCCCGTACTCTCTCTCCCGCACTCTCTCTCCCGTACTCTCTCTCTCCCGCACTCTCTCGCACGGCGTTACGTGGCCGCTGAACACGCGTGAAGACAGCTGTTGTCCCGTGGTGTAGAACCTGACCAAGACACCTCTTGAGCGACGGACGCTGATCTTGGTTTGTAGATCTTCTAGTTCTGCTCCAATGTGTATTACTTCCACCTGTTTTTCGAGACCCGAACCTTCAGGTTGTTCCTGATCCATTCTGCTTGACTTTCGGAAGCTGTCGGTTGGACAGGATGTGTGAAAACAGTCAGCAAGAGTCCTATGATAAAGCTCCGACTGATCTTCGTCATCCCCATTGCTTTGACTATAACTGAACAAAACTACACTTGCAGTCTTGTTTACTTACTGAAAATAAAAGCGCCAGACACAATGTCCCCGAGATGGTCACCCAGTCAGATCAGTCCAAACGTCACTCTTTTAAAGGCTTGCGGGGAGTAGCAGGGGGAGGGGAGGGAGGAGTACCTCCTGCTGGCTATCGGTGAGGGTCGGCAGTTGACAACACCGGCTTCGGCGGAGGAGCCGCAACGCCACCGGAAGTAGGCGTTGCACAAATGACGTATATGCAAAAATTAGACGCGGTTTACTTGCATGCGGATTGGTGTCTGACGCCTATCGGTCGAACTATATTCGAGAGCCAACAGTTCGATCACTAGTGCGAAATTGGATGAACTATTGTCACCAGACGAGTGGACAAAGTTGAAGGAGATAACCGTGTCCGATTTGTGGGAATGCGAAATCATTTACGTGGAGCTAGCTGCGATTATTTCAATGTTAGTTAACACTCCCTTTGGTGATATATCGAGTGCGGGGAAGGAGACGGTGCGGTTAGGTAGCTGATGGATTTCTGCGTCGACAACTTGCCGTGCGTGCCTCCTCGTACCGCGGAGAGACTGGAGTGCTTGAAGGCCCGGCGGATGCCGCTGTCGGCTTGCCAAAGCAGGCCTTCAAATGGCTGGACAAAGACCTGGTCGACGCGCCATTTGCTGAGCCTAGCTGATAAATATCCGGAGAAAATAACAGCTAGTCAGAACTACAAGCAGCAGCTATAAAATTTCAATTCCTGAACTTGTTCGATTGATGTCAAGATCAAGACGGGACCAGCTTAAATACCTGCACAGGCCCTTTGAAAAGCGCCGGTTAACGGACCAGCCAGTTAACGGACCAGCCGGTTAACGGTTAACCTGCGATAATCCAAGACGCACCTCCGCCGTCTCTGGCTAGCTGCTGGCATGCCTACGTCCTCGTACGGTGGTCCCTTTTCTTGTCGACACTGTGCTCCTCCCTTATTGACGAACTTCTGCGCTCCCTTGAGGCAGTCCCGTCGTGCCACAGCTGCCACACCTGTCAGCGCGTGCCCCGTCATCGGAGGCGTCGACTTTCCCTCCAGGGCCACTTCATGGCGGCGAACACGGGTCCGCCGTAGCAACATCTTCCAGTCGAGGCGGCGAATGGTGGTAACCGTGCTGTGGTTATCGCAAGCCGGCACAACGATGCCGTTTTAAATTTGGGAGGTGTGGGATGTTACTAGAAGCAATGAGGTGTTTAATATGCGCTCAGAACCGACATTGTATTGTAGCACACGGCCTGCTAGCTGTCGGGTCGCAGCCAGCACGGTCTGAGCCGGAGCCGCCTCACGAATTGAAGAGTACTGGGATTAGCGCCGGAGTGGAGGCGGGTGTTGCGCAAGGGAAAGATGCAAGAGGCGTTCATTTGAGTGCTTATCCAACTCGGACGGCTCTTGCTCTCACTATATTCGAGAACGATCAGATCGCTCGTGCGAAATTGGATGAACTATTGTCACCAGACGAGTGGACAAAGTTGAAGGAGACAACCGTGTCCGATTTGTGGGAATGCGAAATCATTTACGTGGAGCTTGCTGCGATCATTTCAATGTTTGTTAACACTCCCTTTGGAGATATATCGAGTGCGGGGAAGGAGACCATCTGTCAATGGCTGAACCGAAAGAGGTGGGGATTGATGCACAGAAACTGGGTGACTGGGTGTCTACTCCGACGTTCAACTATTCCTGTGAGGAAGTTGATAGATTTTTGCGTCGCAACATTGCCGTTTAGACATGAGCAGAAGCTGGAGTGTCTCAGGGCCCGTTTTGTAGAGTCTAAGTACTGGACCAGGGCTTCTAATGTTCACACGAGAGACTATTGGTTAAGCCGGCTGGATATACTGTCAGATAAAATCACTGCAAGTCAGTTTGCAAAAGCAGTCGCAATACCTTCTAGAACACCCTATTATACACCAGCGCTTCCGGAGACAACCGCTGGTTCGAAGAAGCAGGCGTCGTTTCCGAGAATTTTGAGTTCACGAAAACACGAAGATGTATGGGTGGCTACGTCACCGATCAGACCGGTTAAGCCGGGTCCTTTTCAGCCTCCTGGCGATCTCGAGCCAGCTGCAGGAGGAGTAGTGCGGACAAAGGTGTCAGCATCCAGAATTCTGAATGTGCGAGGAGGCCCAAGTCTGGGCTCGATTGTCATCCGGCCTGAGGAGTGTATTTCGTCTCAGGGAGCTCTACCAGGTGCCAGTAGTCAAGTATACCGACGGACACCTGGCTGGTTTAGGCCGATTCTAGCGTTCTACGATGCACCTTCAGTTCCAACCGATAACATGAATGAAAAGCTGACTAAACTGTTAGGTGGAGATTGGAATAAATTGGAGGGAATGAAAGAGGCGGATGTTGATGCCTGTAGTATCGCTTATTTAGAGCTAGGAACCATTATAGAATATTATATGCATTCCGCTTTTGGTACTTTGAGTGCGGATGTACGGGAAAAAATATTCGCGCCACTGGTCAGGGCAGGACTCGAGCCGGCGGCTGATGGGTGGATTACGGGATGTATATTACAGTATGCTGATGTGCCAATGGAAGATCTAATCACGTTCTGTACAGATGATTTGGACTACAAACCTTTCTCGGGAATGTGGATGCTCCAGTGTCTAATGCATGAGGTCGGACGCCGTAGCCGCTACCGACCAAGACATTGTCCGCATCCTCGTGCACGTCTCACCCAACTTCTTGCGGGACAGATTAACAAGATTTCAGTTCCCGACCTCATCCGATTGTTATTAGGATCAACAGGGCAAAAACAGACTTATGTCCGGAAATGCTTTGAAATGAACCTGATGATGACGGGCCCGTCGCCGGCTAAGCGGCTTTCTACTAGGAAACGGAAGATGCCGGAAGGGAAGATGCCGGAAGGGAAGATGCCGAAACGGAAGATGCCGAAACCGAAGATGCCGGAACGGAAGGTGCCGGAACGGAAGGTGCCGGAACGGAAGATATCGGAAGAGAAGATACCATCTGGAACGAGAGTTCAACGAAACGTCGGGCGAGATCCCGATAGAGTAAATGCTGTTACACAATCTCGATCTCCCCTGTCGTCTCTGGTCGAATTCAGTAGCCCAGAATTATCCATGGAGGTTAGTCGTTGGTCATTTAAAAACGGCCGTGATTTATTGCAATCCAGAGCGGTCGACGAACATTGGCAGGAGCCAATAAAGATGAAGCGTTCAACGTGTGCTCCTAACGAACGCTCCTTTGGTACAATTGGTCTGTTAGCTATCGGTGAGGGTTGGCAGCCGACAACGTTAGGGGCGTTCTCGGAGGGGTTGCCGCGTGAAGTGAGAAGTACTGGAATGTGTGCCGGAATAGAGGCGTGTGTTGGGCAAAGGAAAGGTGCGGATAAAAGAAGTGTTTATTTGAGTGCGTATCGAACTCGGACGCCTCTTGCTCTCACTATATTCGAGAACGAACTGGTCGCTCGTGCGAAATTGGATGAACTATTGTCACCAGACGAGTGGACAAAGTTGAAGGAGATAACCGTGTCCGATTTGTGGGAATGCGAAATCATTTACGTGGAGCTAGCTGCGATTATATCAATGTTTGTTAACACTCCCTTTGGTGATATATCGAGTGCGGGGAAGGAGACCATCTGTCAATGGATGGGTGGAAAGAAGTGGAGAAGCACGCACTACAGTTGGGCGACAGGCTGTCTTCTCCGACGTTCCACGATTCCAATAAAGAAGTTGATGGACTTTTGTGTTGATACGCTGGCGTATGTGCCTACCAAGTGTGTGGGGACGTTGGAGTGTTTCCGGGATCATTCTGCGTCTTTAAGGGAGTACGCGGCGAGGGCTGGAAGGGTTTCTGGTAGGAGCTATCTATCAGGCCTGCTTGAGAGTTTGTCACGTAAAATTACTGTAAAAGAGTATGCAGAAGCAATCGGCTCAAAAGTCGGAAGAGCACCGTATCTTAGATGGTTGTCTATGGCATCGCACTCCATCGCACCACCCATTTCGGGCCCAGAAACGGAGGCTGCATTGATCGGGCAATCGCCTGTATTTGCGATAACCCCACCCACCACAGCACCGCCGACTACAGCACCGCCGACTTCCGATCCAGAACCGGAGGCTGCATCGTTCCGGCAGTCGTCTGGATTGTCTATCAGGCCGAAGGAGTGGGCTGCCGTACGTAAAGGTCGAGTATATCGGCGGACACCGGGCGTCCTAAGCCATTTTGGTCTGGATATATTATATCCGAATAACGACGTGAATAAGAAGCTGACTAAACTGCTAGGTGGAGATTGGAACAAGTTGGATGAAATGAAAGAGGCGGATGTTGATGCGTGTAGTATCGCTTATTTAGAGCTAGGAACCATTATAGAAAGTTATATGAGAGACGGTTTTGGAACTGTGTGTGCAGACGTACGTGACAGTCTTGATGCGGTATTGACCAAAGCAGGATTTATCAACGTGACTTCTGGGTGGATTACGGGATGTATATTACAGTATGCTGATGTGCCAGTGGAAGACCTAATCACGTTCTGTGCAGAATATTTGGACTACAAACCTTTCTCGGGAATGTGGATGCTCCAGTGTCTAATGCCTGAGGTTGGACGCCGTAGCCGCTACCGACCAAGACATTGTCCGCATCCTCGTGCACGTCTCACCGAACTTCTTGCGGAACAAAAGAAAAAAATTACAGTCCCCGAACTCATCCGATTATTGTTGCTATCAAGAGAGCAAAAACAAAGTTACGTCCGCCACGGTCAACTCGTTGAACTGAGTCCGGTGAACGACCCGTCATCCAGGCGGGTTCCTCTCATTCTGAAACGAAAGCTGTCACAAGCATTTACAGAAATTGCACGAGCCAATGTCCAATCTTCGACTAAGGTCCAATCTTCGACTATGGTCCAATCTTCGACTATGGTCCAATCTTCAACTACTAAGGCCGTACATGCCCAAGTCGAAAATCATAATCCCCATTTCTTAGCCTCAAAGCCTGAATCCAGGCCAGAGCAAGATCCTGCACTGATGTACTGCCACCCGAACGATGTGATCGAATTTATAAATTGGGTGGAATCGGGTGGTGTCTGAAATGATCCAATGGCACCGGATATGCTTCCGCTTCTTTGGCAAAACAGTTGCCTTGCGACCGAACCACGAGGTTGCTACCGAAACTGCTTTATTCCGTCTATCTGATTAATCAAGGCGAACGAGCGAGCGGGCGAACGAGCGAGCGGAGGAACGAACGAGCGAGCGAATGAGCGAGCGGACGTGCGAATGAGCGAGCGGACGGGCGAATGAGCGACCGAGGGGACGAGCGAGCGAGGGCTAGCGCGAGAAGCCGTTATGCTACGTGCGTACTTGGCATTGTGGATAGCTGGAGTGTTCCAGGGGACTGTCTGTTTCGGGGGTGTTGTCTAAGTGTTAGGACTCCCCTTGGCATCGGGGGAGGCCCCCTCGTGCCGCCGGATAAGTACGTACGCGGCCATGATTCCGAAAACCCGGACTACTTGTGCACCCTGGCTAATACTAGCAGAAGGGTAGGGTCTTTATAGGGGGGACTCGGAGGCAGGACAGAACAGTCCGCTTCCCAGGTGTACTAAAAGGCGCAGGTGGGCCGACTAAACCAAGGCCGTGCGTTGCTTCTCAACCCGCTGGCTGGCAAACGTCAGTAAGTATGCCGGCGAACGCAACATTTTCATGACGAAGTTCGCAATGTTATTGACGTGAATGAGAAGCCCGCTAAATTGTTGGGTGGGGATTGGAACAAGGATGGTTGGGTGGAACAAGTCGGAGGATATAGTGGAAGCGGATGTTGAAACGTGTAGTTGAAGAGCAAGTCGGGAGGCGAAGAACCGAGTCAAGTGGCCGATCTTGATGGCACGCATAATCCTTGTGGAGTTACGCGGGAGCAAACTGGCGGAAGTGGATCAAGGCAACGTCGACGAGCGGAATCCCGTCGGCCCCCACAAAACGTGACACACATCCGTCGATCGCCTTGGTAATTTTTAAGCAGAGCATTCCAACTTCGAACCTTTGGCACCAGAGCAGAGCAACTTCGAACCTTTGATGCAGCTTCGAACCTTTGGTACCACGCAGCTCAACATTCCAGCTCAAAATCAAGGACAACACACAGGATGCACGTCTAGGCCAAGAAGGGGGTGTCACTGACAGCCATAAAGGCCACGTTGGGCTGGCCGGGATAGTTACGGCACAACCGTTGAGGTCCCGCGCGAAAATGGTCGAAGAATATTTTTCCCGAAAATGGATATCGAGGACTATCGGGCAGCTTTCTCTTTGTTCGACATTAACGGAGACGGGCGTAAGACATCCTTGACCTCAGGCTGTGGATGCTGGGTAGATGGCGGAATTTGTTGATTAGCACACACATCTTTGCACCTGTTTCTCAACGTGTCCGGAGTTAACGCAACCGGAATTAACGCGTCCGGAAATAACCGTGGCGGGAGTCGGCGCGCCCGAGGGGGTTGAGCCTGCCTGGGGTTATGGTCCGACATATGTTTGTTGTAGATATAAGTCCCTCGGAGTTGGGTGCTGTAATGAGATCTATGGGTCTGTATCCGTCGGAAGGCGACATCCAGCAAATGATCGCTGGATTACCGAACAAGGAGATTGCTTTCAATGACTTTGTTGGACTGGTGACGAAGAACGTCGCGGGAACAAGTTTGCAGGACGAGCTGGAGGAAGCCTACCAGATGTTCGATCGTGACGGGAATGGTCTAATAAGTGCTTCCGAGTTGCAACACGTCTTAAAGCACTTGGGTGAGGACTTAAACGATGACGAAATAGCTGAATTAATTTGCGGCGTCGATGGTGATAACGACGCTCAAGTTAACTACTCGGAATTCATCAACCTCATGACTTCCTCGAATAGACCCGCGACGGCCGCTTCTGGTGATGACTGGTAGGCCATATGTGGTAAAGACGTGTCGGGGCGGAGCATTATAAAAATATGGGTAATCCGAGAGGCCGAAGCTTGGGTCAGAAAGGAGCTGAAGATGTGCTTGCTCGGGGCTTGGACATACCAACGATCAGGGATGGTCCACGCTGCGCTGCACGTGAGAACCGCTCGAGCCGGCACCCCGCTCGCAACTCGGCGGGCGAAGACTCCACGACGAGCGACGACTCCTCGGCGAGTGATGACTGTCCCCTTCGACTCGACGCGTACGACAGCTCCAATACGGCCGAGGTCCTGCGGTTCCTTGCTGCCCACAACGCCACTTACCCTGATCTCGACCGCCGGAATTTCGGCCAAAGACGCAACGGGTTGGTACTCGACGCTGCCCCGCAGACGGAGGAACCTCTGAGCACTGCGGCGGGGCTGCTTTCTAACATTTCCAGTTTTTGGAAACGGGACATCGTCAGCAACCCCGTTGCTGTCACGGAATCACCCGCCGACGTCATAACGGTTGCCGACGTCGTAACGGTTGCCGACGTCGTAACGGTTGCCGAGGCGATGAGGAAGCAAGTCGTTCCACGGATACAAATCACACCGCCGACCGGGTCTGTGCCCGGGTCGGATGCGTCCCTAGCCGGGTCCAGTAAACCCCTATGTGGCAGTCCGGTAAAGAAAATGAGTCGAGGGAGCTCTCTCCCCTCGATGAGGCGTGCGCTGGACTCGGAAGACGGCGGCTATTTTGACGCTCTACCACTCGTGCCAGAGACGGGCAAGGTGTCATCGAAGACGGTAATCGATGCGAAAGGCGAGAGTGAGAGTGCGGTGGAGAGGCCGATGAAGCGGACAAGTTCTTGGGAGTTTCTAAGTCGTGTGGTGGGGCGATATTGGGCCAAGTCGGGACCAGCGACAGGGCCGGCACCGGGGGGGCCAGCGTCGCGGCCTGCGGAAGTGGTTCAGGAGATCCCGACACCACACGCAAAGTATCCGGTGGCCGAGAACTTCGGTGCAGCGCCGAGCGCCGAAGGGCCAGCACCGGAGCCATTGGACGTTATCTTAGCGCTGCTAGAACGGGACGTCGCGCGTGCCCGCAATCCTCGAGAGGCCGGTACCCTCGCCAACGAGCAGTGGAAGGTACGACTCAACGGCGAGGCACTCCGCGGCAAGTACTACTATCCCCCTTCCATTGCGCCTCACCGACGAAGCCGCGTCGTAGACACATCAAAACTCTTCGTCGGCTGGACACCCGAGTACTCATACAGGCACCAGTACCGACAACGACACACCATCCGTAACTCAGTGTAACGCACTCTCCCTTCCATGGTCTCTTATCTCGCTGGCTACAAACTTGACCTCGGTATATATAAATTGGCACACCAACTTGGTGTACAAGCTCTCAGTCCGTAGCCTCCCGCTTCTCCGTGTCGGTACGCACACGTGTGTGTGCATACCGACACGTGACTTCAATTTTCTAAGCAACCAATGTTTTAATTCTACGTAAGGTATCGTTTAGTCTTTACGCCCACCCAAACATACTCCCATCTTGCATACATGCCGCACCACCAGCCAGGGAACGGCTCTGGCGTCGGTACCGGTCAAATTGAGTGGGCACGGCGGGGACATAAAAAATCGGATGAGGACGGACACACCGGTGACGGCGTACTCGAAGGAGCAAAAAGCGCAGGGAGTGGTGCTGCCGATAGCTGCTAGACTGGAAGCAGTCCTGCAGAAGGAGCGGGAGAAAAGCCTTTCAGGAGTTCCGTCGCAGAAACTTGTTGGTGCTAAGCCCGTTTCCCGGGAGAGCACTCCTCTGAAAACCGCTTCACTGAAGACCGTACCTTTGAGTCGGAACCCATTGGGCTCTGAGAGGTACGAGCTGCTTCGCACTCCGGATGCCGGAGCACCCCGGAACGAATTTTTCACTCAGGGGCCCTTCGTGAAAAGCGAAGATACTGTTAATGCCGGACTGTATAGAGGTCTTCCTGGAACGGCTTTCGTCACGGATACAGCACCCTCGTTGGAAATAGAAGATACCGATGGTGATGAGTATCACTACGAGGCTAGTGTAACTGAGGCTAGTGTAACTGAGGATGAATGCGAAAATGAGGGTCAGGAATATGAGGGTCAGGAATATGAGGGTCAGGAATATGAGGGTGAAGAGTCTCAGAACTCTCAGTATACTGGTGAGTTCAATGGCCAAATAAATGATGCCCCTACTGGCATTCAGGCAGGGAGATTCATGACCAATCTGAGGCATAACTTAGACCACATCTGGGACAAGGTGAAGGCCGGTGGCGAGATATCGGTCCCGGAGACAGGCGCCCCTCAGAGGACAAGTCAGACGAGATCCGTTGACGTGTCTGAGTGGAGCGAGTGGGAGTGGCTGGATAGTCCCTCTGAAACACACAGAATCTTCTACTACGAAACCACGGAAATTTGTAAAGAGTATTACTACCACCCGGAAGACGCAGAGACCCCTCTTCCCCATGGGAAGCAGAATGAATGTGACCAAGATGCAGACAACCAACGGGGGTTCTCAGCCGAAGCATGCGACGAAACCGCGTTCGAACAGAACCCTCCCCACCACACAGAGAAGGACGTTCAAGACGGAGGCGAGAGCGAATGTGAATGCGAAGGGGAATGTGAATGCCAAGGGGAGTGTGAATGCGACGGTGAATGCCAGTGCTACTATCAGTGTGCGTGCGAAGGCGAATGCGAATGCGACCAAGATGAATGCAACGCCGCAGACGATGCTGCAGACGATGAAGAGGACGTAACTGCCGAGGAAGGTGAGCACGAGGAAGACTGGGAAGAGGAAGAGGAAGAGGAGGAAGGGGAAGAGGAAGAGGAAGAGGGTGAGGAAGAGGAAGAGGAGGAAGGGGAAGAGGAGGGAGAGGAAGAGGAAGAGGAAGAGTGGGAAGAGGAAGAGTGGGAAGAGGAAGAAGAGGAAGACTGGGAAGAGGAAGACGAGGAAGAGGAAGAAGAGGAGGAAGAGGAAGACTGGGAAGAGGAGGAACCTTCCAAGACCGCTCCCGCCCCCAGCAAGTGGATGCCTTTGAACTGGCGGTACCAAAGACCGTCGCACCGCCATCGTTACCAGATTCTGCAGTTGGTGTAATTTTTGTCTAAGAGTAGTTAGTTAGTGCACTGTTTCAACTTGGAAGAGTTAGCTCCACTTGGTGGGAGTTAAACTTGGTTGTGTCGACAGGGGGGGGGGGTTGTAGTCACAAGGTTGTCTGCGGGCAAGGTTGAGGTTGGAAAAAAGTCGGGTTTAAGCGACGATGGCAGAGGCCTTGGCAGCGGTGTACTTCCAGGTGGCAGGGAGACGGCGTCTGCTTCTGTAGTAGCGGGCGAGTCTGTGGATCTTGGACTCGGTGAGGCCGACGCGATACTTGCAGGATATATCACTATGGGCTCTCTCGAGGTGCTTGCGCATGTTGACAGCCTTCTTCATGAGGAAGTAGAGGTCCTCGGGCACTTCGGTGGCAAGTCCTCTCTTTCTCAGGATGCGGGTGATCAGGGTACCAGTGATGGCCTTCACACGGGGTACTGCCTGGGAATCTCTCAGAGCCACACCAATTTGGGAAGGAGTCATACCCTTCTTGGCCAAGGCCTCGATGCAGGTGATGACTTCGTCAGCACTCACCTTGGACCAAGTCGGGGCATCACGACGATATGGGAGCGCAGAGCGGGCAATGCCCTTCTTCTTACCGTACATGCGAGCCATGTTTTTTCCCCCGTAAAACCTCGGTAGCCCCCAGCCCGAGGAACAAAAAAAAAAAAAGACAGAACAACACCAACCTTCACACCAAGAATAACCCCTACGCCGTCTCTGTGGCAGCATCATAGGTACTCCACCATCGCTGTGGAACACACTTGAGAATTGTGAGCATTAAGAATACCAATACAGCCTTCGTCTCAATACAGCCCGCCTCGTATCTGGAATGTTTTTGACGAAATTGGCAGTTTGGGGACAGTGAAATCCGTGTCAACAGCGGGCAATTCGAATTCCACGAACGGGCCGTCAGACAACGGCAATTTCATGTCGTCGACCAACTCTTGGGCTATGTCACGATCGTCTAAAAGATGATTCCTTGTGAAAACGTTGCTTTACTGATGTATGTCGCTTCGCCCGAGTCCACAGAAATTTCTACGTGGGTGATGTGTGACCGACTATGCAAGCCTACCAAACCTGCCCGTGGGCATGCCCAAAAAATTCGATAGATCTTCAATGGCTTTCTGCACGCATTCTACACAAAGCAGGCAATAAAGCAATCCGCATTTCATTGAGCACACACGTGTGTGCTTCGATGTGCGCTGCATAATTAAATCTGTATTCAGTCGGATGGCCTGCTGGACGAATAAAGACTTCTCCTTCTTAGAGGAACAAAGATTTCTGTCGCTCCTTGAGGGGGCTGGATTCGAGCAATAAGTCTTCAGCACTAGAAGATCCGCAATGATTTTGATGGTAATGTTCGGTGCGAACTCATTCGGTCCGCAGTGCAAGCACTCTATAATTCCCTCTTGCCGCCTCGCGCTCTCCGTGTAGGGATTCGCGCTTGCATTTGGATACCGCGATGCTCGTCGTTCCTTACGTTGTCAACTTCTTGCTGTGCATATCCGATTTCATTATGTTGCCCTCCTCCGTATTCCATCTCGTGCGCGTTTGGCGATCGGTGGTAGCTTTGGTGGTCGTCGTCTTCATAAGGTTGTCGCGAGTCGTCTGGATGATACGGGTAATCGTACGACTGCCGGGGGCCAGACAAGCGGACATAAGGTTCGTCGTAAGGCGCTTCGTCGTAAGGCGCTTCGTCGTAAGGCGCTTCGTCGTAAGGCCCCTCGCTGAACCGGTCGCGACCTGCATAACCTTCTTGGTATCGTACGGGCCGGGATTCTCCGCCGGCGTTCTCGGCCGAACTGTCATCTTGGTTGTACAGCCCTCTCCTCGGCCGTCGGGCAGACGCGGGTTCTTCCGCTTCGTCGACCGGTCCTTCACGCGGAGCGTAAGTTCTAAAGGACGTACGAGGCGGGTGCCGTCCGTCTTCTGCGCCATAACGTCCGGATTCTGGGGCATATCTTTCCTCTTCCCGGTCGTAGCGAGCCTTGCGCCGGCTACGCTCTTGCGCGGCATCATACTTTTCATCCGAGCGATACTGCCCCTCTGCCGAACCGTACTGCTGGCCACTCGGGCCAACCCGATCATTCGTCCACCCATACCGCTGACCGACATTCTGATACCCTTCTGCAGGATACGGTTCGTCATAGGTTTCAAATCGGCTATCATACGACATGTCGTGTGGATACGCTTCGCTCACGTCGGGCAAGGCCCTTGAACTCGGCCTGTAAACCTGGCGCTCAGCTGCTTTACCAGAAATCGGCAGCCCACTATATTCCGACAGCCTACTATATTCCGGCAGTCTACTATATTCCGACAGCCTACTATATTCCGACAGCCTATTATATTCCGGCAGCCCACTATGTTCCGACAGTCTACTATATCCCGGCAGCCTAAGCTCTTGTTCCCTGTAGCTACCGTACTGATAGACACGATCCCTCGGAATGTAGTAACGTGACTCGTAATCAAAGGGAATCTCCTCTTCCAAGAATTCTCGGTGGGAGGGCAAGCGGTTACTGACAGCACGTCCACTAGGATCACGTCCGCTCGGATCACATCCACTAGGATCACGACCATCGTAATCACGTCCGCAAGGATCGCGAGAATTGGGATCACGCCCATTGGAATCACGACCACCGGCAGCACGGTCGCGGTCACTGGGAGCACGACTTCCAGTGGCCGCACGGCTATTTGTCTCATTAGGGTCTTCGGGTTCAGCATCTTGGAGAGGGTACCGTTCGCTCAGGTCGGATTCGGGTGAGTCGCTGACAGATGGATGTTTGCCGAACGGGTTGCTCTGGACATTGCGCGGCGGTGGCAGTACCGGGGCACGCGTCAGTTCCCAACTGCGTACGGCGCCTGCAGTGCGCAGCGGTACCATTACCTGGTCTGTGCTTTTGTGTTGTACGGTGTCGTGACCTCCCGACCGAGGTCCGGATCGAGGTTTCGAGCCCGGGACCTCGGATTCCGGGGTCTCAGTTTCCGGCACCGGATGCTGAGACCGCGATATTGAGTTAGACTGCGCGAAGTCTGGGTGGGCGAAGCTTGGGTGTGCGGATCGCGGGCGTTCTGTCATGTGCAGACCACGTTCCAGTCCTTGGTCGATGGCGTCGAGTGCCTGTGCGTGGTGGTCCGCATCTTGGAGACGAAGCGCTGCAATGCGTTTAACCCATTCAGGTTTGATGAGGTCGGCCACAGGCTTAATGACCCCGTGTGACTCGAAGATTTTGGTGAGGGATCGAAACAAGGGTTCCCTGGTGCAGAGAGTTCGTCGGTCCCCGATAACGCAGACGTGTCGTTTGGCGCGTGTAACAGCGACATTAATCCGACCACGGTCTGCAATGAAACCAATATCACCAGAGTAGTTGGATCGCACCAGAGAGATGAGTACGGCATCGGCTTCTTGGCCCTGGAAAGAGTCGATGGTGCCGGCGCGAACTTGATATGTGCGCGACCAGGGGCAATCGTTCAACAGCTTTGTGACATACTCCACCTGCGCCTTGTACGGCGAAACAATCATAACGGTCTTGCAGAAGCCTTTCTTCGTGCCATCCAAATACGGCAACAGTACCTGCTCGATGTACAGGATGCAAAGGTGCGCTTCGAAGAAATTGCGCAACGAAAACTGGCTGTCACCGCGGTCTTCACGGAAGTCAGGACTGGTCTGGGTGCTGATGAAAACCAGCGGTTCGATTTCCGGTGCTATCACAATGTTCCGATTAGCATCGGCGGCTCGCAATTGCTTCTTGTAGAATTTGCGCGAAGACCAGAGCGAAATTTTCTCGTTCGAGCGGTATTGGACGTCGAGGAGCGTGTTGAGCTGTTTGAGCTGACGCAGACAGCGTTCGAGGATGCTTTCCTGGTAGGACTGGGAGCGCGCAAATTGTGTGTGCACAGTGGGTTGCAATTGACACACGTCTCCGGCCAGAATAGCTTTCCTGGCGCGATCGGAGGCAATGAGTGCGTCAACGGATTGGCACTTGCCGGCTTCGTCGATAATGACCCAGTCGAAGGGTTGTAGCCACTCCTGCGCTCGTACACCGAAGCAGGTGCTGAAGACGACACGGTTCTCGGCATCAAGCTCTGCGTAGCCCTGTGTAAGTAGGGCGAGTCGCTCCTTTTCTAGAGCGTCCTGGGCGGTGTCTGGTGGTCTGGGCGCGTCAAGGTTCCCCCAGAATCGTTGTTCGAGTTGCTGAAGTTTCATTCCTATGGAGGTGTCGCAACGGACGAGATGGTCGACATGTACTTCTTGTGCGGCGCCATGGCATCGTGAGATGCTGCCGCAGCGCATGGAATGTCTCATATGTTCCGTCTCGATGCATGCACTGAGTAGACTGTTCGTGGCTTCATTGGTTGGCGCGGTCACGAGCACCCGATTTCCGAGCTTCCGTAACACGTTGATGATCACAGCTAACAGACGTGTCTTCCCGGTTCCGGGGGGGCCCTCGATGATGGCAATGGGGTCTGCGCGTAGTGCGCGTTCGATGGCCTGGCTCTGCTTTGTGTTGAACAGGTGTTTGGCTGGGTCGAGAAGAGGCGCGACCCGAGGGTGTGTATGCACACGGAATTCGTCAATTGGCACGTAGGTAGGCATCCGCGGTGGGGTCTCCAGTAATAGTTCTTGCAGCGGTGAGATTGGTTTGGGAGTAGACGTCAAGACGCCGACATAGTCCAACCGCGAAGTGCTCGTGGTCGTGTCCTCGCAGCACACAATATCGAACACATCTCCACGTGCAACCGACATGCGAGGACGTACTAACACACAAACCCGCGCCCCCTCCGACGACGTTACCTCGCCCTTTAAGGGTGTCCCACGCGCGTCCGAGAAACGCCGAAATTCACGGGCCGCTGGGTCACATGCCCTAAACAATTGAACCTCTCCACCACGAGGCAACGGCCGAAATTGAGCCAACTCTTCCGCCTCCAACGTCAAACGCAAACGGTCATACTGCCGCTCCAACTGTACCACCCGATAGCCCAATCTACACCATGCCTCGCGCCCCGCACACACCAATAACGTCTCCAACCGATCCTTTTGCAACTGCAACGCGTAATCCAATTCGTGCCGCTCACACTCGCTCCATTGCAACAACGTCCGCTTCATCCCGTCCGTCAGATTGTCATTACGCATCTCCCCATCGTAGAACCACTCGGGTGGCACACACTCCTCACTCATGCCCCAAATTACAATTCCCCACACCCGTTTCTCGCCATCCTTCCCACCGCGTTTCTCGCTACCCTTCCCACACACTCTCGCACCCTCAACTCACACTCATTTTCCATCCACTTCGTGCCCGCCCACTGTCCACTCTTGCGCCACTTATTCCACACACCCTCTTTTTCACATGCTCCCCTCCCCTCCCC